TGCCTGGGAGGGCAGGCGGAGCTGGCAGGGTGCACATGTGTGTGCATGTCAGGGGCAGGGGGTGAGCGCGAGTAAAGAGAGGGTGTTTGCTTTATTTGGGGGGCATGGAACCAATTTACAGTTTGTTCATTCATTTAATACATTAATTAGTTCCAATGCTGTTATGTGCTTCGAAAGGGCTACGCACGGTTGTGTCTTCTATTTAAGGATTTAGGGTCTTTCCCAAGGCAGCTGAGTTGAGTGGGAGAGATCATGCATGAGCTTGGGGGTAGGGGGGGGATGGTGTTGGGCAGGAGGGCGTGGGGGGCCTTGTTCCTCACTGTGCCCTCCTCTCTCCAGCTCAAGCCAATTCTGGCCGACATCGAATACTTGCAGGACCAGCACCTCCTGCTCACAGTCAAGTCCATGGACGGCTACGAATCCTATGGTGAGGCGTGAGGGATGCCATGGGGCACTGGAAGCGAGGTGAGGCCTAGAAAGTTTTGGCAGTTTGTTGGTTTGCCTTTCAGGGGAGTGCGTGGTGGCGCTCAAGTCCATGATTGGCAGCACGGCCCAGCAGTTCCTGACCTTCCTGTCCCACCGCGGCGAGGAGACAGGCAACATCCGTGGCTCCATGAAGGTGCGGGTGCCCACAGAGCGCCTGGGCACCCGTGAGCGACTCTACGGTGGGGGCTCCATTGGGAGGGGCGTGGGGCCTGAGATGAGGTGGTGTGGGCAGGTCCAGGAGGGCAGGCCCCGGGGGTGCGGGGAGGGCGTATTGGAGTCCCTGGAGCATGATGTTTGGGAGTTCTACGGCCACGACTGGCAGTGGGCCCGCCCTGAGGAGGAGCTGGCAAAGGGCTGGAGGGTCCGTGGGTGTCTGGGACCCAGGACCTCAGGTTCCCTCTGAGTCTCCTTTCCCTTTCTCCCCCAGAGTGGATCAGCATCGATAAGGATGAGGCAGGAGCAAAGAGCAAAGCTCCATCTGTGTCCCGAGGCAGCCAGGAGCCCAGGTGAGCTGGTGCTGTGTTGGGTGCCGAGTGAAGGGTTGCCTGGGGGCTTTTGGTCAGCCTGTTTCATCTGCCCTGCCCTGTGCACCCCTGGCAGGTCAGGGAGCCGAAAGCCAGCCCCCACAGAGGCCTCCTGCCCGCTGTCCAAGTTATTTGAAGAACCAGAGAAACCACCACCAACTGGGAGGCCACCAGCGCCACCTCGAGCCGTTCCCCGGGAGGAGCCCTTGAGCCCCAGGTGAGAGAGGAGCCCATCAGGCCCCTGTCCCACTTTACCCATCACTGTGCTCGGCTCTCAGGGCCAGCCTGGGGACTGTCTGCTGCTTGGGTGCTCTGCTGCCCCGCGGCCAGAGGTGCCAGGGCCCGATGCCCATGGCCACCCTGGCCAGACCGGCCTCCCTTAGGTGTGGCTCTCTGAGTCAAAGGGAGCAGAGTCAGCCTTTTCTCTCGATTCTGCCTTAAAAAATAGAATTCGAAATTGTTTCTGCAACAGCTCCCTCCACGTAAACAGAATGAGTTTGAGCCTCCTGAGTGGAGAAGGGGCATGCCTCAGCTCGGGATTTCCCCTGTGCTTTCAGTGGGGCGCTGTCCTGCGAAGTATACACCCTGGAAATGGGTTTGTGGTCATATGAGTTTGTGAAATGGTTCTTGCTAGATTCTTTTCTTAGGTATTCGCAGTACACATTAATATTAAAAAAAATCTCTGAACATGTGGACAGGAAGGAAACCCGTCTTCAACTCTGTTGAATATAGTTTCTCAAACCTAACAGTCCAGGAAACTTCTTTTCCATACAATAAGCATTAATATGCTGGGGAACTAGTGTTCTGTGGGAAAGCGAGGCTCGCTTTCTAATTATATCCAGTGTCACTTGAACTTAAATAAAAACTCGTAGGTCCAGTTTGGTGCTTTTTCACTCATCTTCAGCTGTTAGCAGTCATCTTGGTTTCATTTTCAGTCTTTTGTAAAACTAACCTGCATTCCTGAGTAACCTTCCTCCCTAGATCCGCCTCAGATGCCTCCAGAGGTTTTTCCAAATCGGGCTGGTCATTCTCATTAAAGGCCTGTATTGCCCTGCCTTCTGGCACCTGTTTTCACCCCTTGAAGCTCAGGTTTCAAAGTTACAAAGTCATAAAAGATCTGAGAATCTCAGTGAGACAAGGAAGTTTAGGTGTTATTCATTCAACTCTCTCTGTTCTCTGATTTTAGAGATAAGGGCAGCAAGAGCCAGAGAGGGAAAGCGATGTGCTCAAGATCACATGCAAGCCTAGGAGTGGGGACCATGTCTTGCTGACTCCCAGTCTGGCTTTCCTTCTACAGCACCCACTACCTTCACTTTGTGTTTCTGTGTCCTGACTTACTTATCCTGCTCCCTAACCCAGGTTGAAGCCAGAGGGGGCTCCAGAGCCTGAAGGGGTGGCAGCTCCCCCACCCAAGAACAGCTTCAATAACCCTGCCTACTACGTCCTTGAAGGGGTCCCACACCAGTTGCTGCCCCCAGAGCCACCTCCACCCGCCAGGGCCCCCGTCCCACCGACCACCAAGAACAAGGTGGCCATCACAGTACCTGCTCTGCAGCTTGGGCGCCACCGGCCTCCCCGTGTGGGAGAGGGGAGCTCATCAGATGAGGAGTCGGGGGGCACACTGCCCCCTCCAGACTTTCCACCCCCACCGCTGCCGGACTCGGCCATCTTCCTGCCTCCAAATCTGGATCCTTTGCCAGTGCTCCGGGGCCGCAGTGGCGGTGAGGCCCGTGGCCCACCACCCCCCAAAGCCCATCCAAGACCCCCACTGCCCCCAGGCCCCTCATCCGCCAACACTTTCTTGGGGGAGGTGGCCAGCGGGGACGATCGTTCCTGCTCGGTGCTGCAGATGGCCAAGACGCTGAGTGAAGTGGACTACGCTCCTCCCGGGCCTGGCCGCTCAGTGCTCCTGCCAGGGCCCCTGGAACTGCAGCCGCCCCGGGGACTGCCCTCAGACTACGGCCGGCCCCTCAGCTTCCCTCCGCCTCGCATCCGGGAGAGCATCCAGGAGGACCTGGCAGAGGAGGTGTGTGGACCAGGGGTGGCTGCCTGTGTGAGCTGTGTGCTTGCCCATGGACTGCAGTATCCTGTTACCCCTCCATTCAACACTCTGGTGTCCTCTTTACCCTGGGCTGGGCACCAGGGGAGTTGGGGACCACATGGACTAGCCCCAGATCTTGCCTTCCTTCCCCCTACCCCATGACACATGGTAGAATGTGGCAGTCTTTCAGTGCTTCTGTGTATGTGGGTACCCTCAGTGCTCCCCCTGACATGCCCTATTCCCTCAGGCTCCTTGCCCGCAGAGCGGGCGGCCCCCGGGGCTGGGAGAGGCCGGCATGGGCGCCTGGCTGCGCGCCATCGGCTTGGAGCGCTATGAGGAAGGCCTGGTGCACAATGGCTGGGACGACCTGGAGTTTCTCAGGTAAGGGTGGGGCTGGTCCCCAGGGTCGGGGAGGGGAGCTAGGGGCCCTCCGGACCACCTTGCCCATCTCCCAGCCTCTCTCCCACCTTCCTACAGCGACATCACGGAGGAGGACCTGGAGGAGGCTGGGGTGCAGGACCCGGCTCACAAACGCCTCCTTCTGGACACCCTGCAGCTCAGCAAGTGATAGCCGTGGCACTGTGGAGCTGCAAATTCAGCGCCCTTCCCTCCCCCCTACGAGGACCCAGCCATGACCCCGGAGTTGCCAAGTTGTGAGGGGTGGGGCAGTACCTCTCTGCATATTTATTGGGGGATCTGAGTTCCCCACTGCCCAATCATTTGTGATGCCCTAATTAGGACATCCTACACCTCGCCTTTACACCTTGGGCACCGGAGATCAGTTGCCGTGGTTACCAAGAACCTTGGTTATTCTGGTGCTCTCTTCCCTTTCCGGACCCCTCCTCAGCCCCACGGGTGCCACGAAGGGTCCATTTGGGTACGTCTGGGTCCCCACTTTCACCACTGTTTCTTCTGACCTGAACCACAGCCAGAGGGGCTCAGCTAGGACCTCTCCCCAACCCTCACTCTGGGGTGCCCATCCGGAAATGAAGGAATAGCCCGAGAACCGGGCTGGGGTTTATTTAAGCTTTTCTGTGTGGGTCTAGGGAGGGCGGGCACTTTAATATTATTGGGGCCTGTTGGGGGTGGGGGGTCAGTCTCTGCCATAAAGTGCCAGTTTGCTTAGTTCCTGCTGTGTCCTCCTGGTCTATGCGTAGCAGCCTCGGTCCGCACCGGTGATGCGGGAGACCCAGCTCTTGAAGGCAGCCAGCCTATCCCCATCCTGGGTACTTGGAGGGGTTACCAGCACGATGTCTTCAATAAATTAAGTTTTATTTGGATTGAGCAAAACTCACCTCAATAAATTACAAGTTTTTCAAAGGAAAAGAGCAACAACAACAACAAAAAGAAAAGTCAAGAGGAAACCCCTCTGTCCCATTGCTCTGGCAGCCCCTCCACTCCTCTAAGGGGCCTACCCTCTGCCCCAGACTGATTTCCAGTGGGAGGAAGCAGAGGGACAAACTGGCGGGATCCTTCAGGCTGCGGCTTATTCTGGCTTCCCTTGCATTGGGGGGGGGGGGGGGGCCTGAAGGGCGGCACAGCCAGCTGGTCACCAAGCTGAGGAGTGACCGAGCCTGCTGCAAGGTGAGGGGAAGAGCCGGCTGTTCCTCCTTGAGGACCCTCGCGTTCAAGCACCGTTAGGGACAGGCAGTTACTTGATCCCGGTTCCAAAGAAAGACGTGCTAGAAGGGCTTCCGGGCTCTGCTGGGGGAGGGGTTCCCAGTGAAAAGTACCCCACCTTTTCTGCTGGGTGGGGGTGGCGAGGGCAAGAGCGGCCCCCGACTTGGTCTCCGAAACCGGGGAGGGCACACGTAGGGGTGAGACACGGTGGGAGGTGGGGAGGGATGGGGCCTTCCAGGCAGGCGGCCGCGGTGGGGAGGGACTCAGCCAGGTCTTGGAGGGGCAGGGGCATCTCTGGGGCCAAGCCCGGATCCTCCAGAGTCCAGCGGCTAGAAGAGATTGGTCTTCAGGGTGGGGCCGGGCTTCCGGTGAAAGGAGGACAGAACCCCGGAGAAGGGCCCGGGCCCCGGCTCTGCCGGCTGCCAGGCCTTCAGCAGCTCCGCCGCCCCCGCGCCGGGCCCGCCGCCCCCACCGCCTGCCACGCCGGCCCACAGGGGGCCCTTGAGCGGCTGTGGCCCCGGGCCAGGCCCGGGCCCGGAGCCCAGGGCGGCGGGCAGCGGGCTGGGGCTCAGGCGCGGGCTGGCCAGGCCGGGCGCGGAGGGCGGCGGCAACGACGCGGTGCTGTCGGGCGTGGGGCTGCACGTGGACTCCTTGGAGTCGTCGTCCTCGGACGAGCAGCGCGCCTCGCCCTTTTTGGCTCCAGCCGCGCCCGCCGCACCCTTGGCGCTGGCCGCTCGCTCCTGTTTTCGGAACTTGGCCCGGCGGTTCTGGAACCAAACCTGCGGGCACAGGGGCCGGTCAGCCCGGGGCCGCAAGGCGCTAGGGAGACTTCGGTCCGGAAGGGGCCGGGTCAGGATGACCGTCAGGCTTCCGAACGTGGTCCCTCTGCCCTCCGCCGCGCAGCTCGTTGCCCTCCTCCTTTCTCCTCCTCCACTTGCCTCTTCCTCCAGGTCCTTAGGGTCTTCCCCTTGGGATCCGCTCCCCCGTGGACCCCGCGGGAGGGGACGCCGCCTTGGCTCTCCTCTGCACCCACGGTCCTGTCACCCATTCCCTCCTACAAGAAGCTCCGGATACCCGCCCGGTGTGTCCGGGGGCGGCGGAGAGCGGCTTAGGGCACTAGGAGAAACCTTTTGTCTCCAGTAAAGGCGGGCCAGCTGGACATCTGTACTCAGATTTGTAAGAGAGACATCAGAGTCCGCCCCGACACGGCTCTCCTCCGCCCTGCGCCCGGGCTCCCTAAAGTCAGGAGCTTCACAGCTGCAGAGCTGCGGACAGGACCTGGCGCTGACCGGCCACCCCCCACTCCACCTTGCTGGGGCTTCCGCTCTACCCACTCGGCCTCCGTTCTGGCTTCCCAAGTACCACCCTGAATGCCCGGCCCTACCAGGGGGACAGAAGGGAAATCGTGGGTCTGACCAGCTCAGTTTTCCAGAGGGCCTCAGGTCTGCCAGGTCCTGGTCCCGCCGCTTCTCCAGGCTGACCGTCCTCTCCTGCCCAACTACCCCCGCCTGCATCAGGTCCCTGGCCCTACCTAGTTCGCCCGCCGGCAGGCTATACCTGCCCTCCGCCAAGCGAGGCCTCTCTGTCCCGCAGCCCCACAGGTGTGGGGCAATAACCTCCAGCCCTCTTCGAGCAGACACTCCCGTACACACACGCGCAAGCACGTACCTGCACGCGAGCCTCAGTGAGATCGATCTTGAGCGCCAGCTCCTCCCGCGTATAAATGTCCGGGTAGTGAGTTTCTGCGAAGACACGCTCCAGCTCCTTGAGCTGCGCGCTCGTGAACGTGGTGCGGATGCGCCGCTGCTTGCGCTTCTCGTGCAGGCCCGACGGTTCCGGGAAGAACTTGTAGGGCACTACGGGTGTGCGCGGGAGGGGGAGTAACCAGGATGGGAGCGTGAGGGGCCGCGCTCAGCTTGCTGTGTCCTGCCCCTGAGAGGACCGCTCACCGCCTCCCGCCCCTGGCCTGGCCCCTGGGCCTCGTCCTCTCAGCCTCGGATGGAGCGTCTTCGCTATCCCTTGTTGGAGCCGGCAGAGGCGAAGGCGGACAGGGCGCAGTGAGGTCCAAAAGCAGCAGCGAGGGAACCAGAATCTGACCCTCCGGTCAAGGCCGCCGACCTGTCGTTGGCCCTCCACCTCGCGCCAGCCTACCAACCCGTCAGACCCTCCCATCAGCGTCTCTCTCCCTCAGTCAGTACCCCGCCTCCCCCCGCCTACCCCGCTCCACCCCCCAGTTTCAGGTCCTGCCCTCCGACCCTAGCCTCGGCTGCCTAACCGGTCTCAGCAGCTCCCCAGTAACCAGTCCTCGATCTTGGCTGGTGACTGAAACTCCCCTGCCTGGGTCTACTTTCAGTCCTGCCTTAGGCTCTCCGTGCTGTAGGGACCTGGTCCCCTCTATGCCACCATCTCTCTCCTTCCCAGGCCTCAGCTCCACCTCACATGCCAGTCTCTTCCAGGTGTCCGCTTCTCTTCCTTATCTCGCCATCCACATCTCTCTCCAACTTTCCCCTTCTGGACCATCCTCTTGGTGACCTTTGGGAAGTGTCCTTGCTTCTCCCCACCCAGGTTCCTCCATCTCCTTTTTGACTTTCTTCTTCCTCCCAGGCACCCCTCTCTGTGCCCCAGCTCCCCCAAAGCTGGTCCCACCCTTCCCCCTCATTCTCTTCTCATCCCTGTCTCCCATCTACCCCATCCCAGTCCCCGCTGCCCCATAGACAATGTTTCTGACATTGTCTCTCTATCCCTCTCTCTAACCCTCATTCAGGTCTCTGTATTTTCCAGGGGTTCCCAGTATCCTTCGTCTTTGTCCTGTCTCCCTAGTTCTCTTTCTCCTCTAACCCTGGTCTCCAATGCTGCATCCTATCCCCATCTTCCTCCTCTGTTTCCATCTTCCTTCGTCCCCATTTCCCATACTTCCTGTCTCCACCACCTGGTTCTCATCTCCTGTCCCCAACCCTGAACCTCCCTTTCTCCCAGGGTCCCCAAACTCCCCATCTTGGCTCACATCTCTCCATAGCTGCCCCTACCTCCCCATCGTAGAACCCCATTTCTCTGGTGCCCGTCTCCCCGTTTTCTTTCTCCATCTCCCCATGCCCCATCTGCATCGGGCCCAGAGAACCCAAGCTCCCCATCCCTGTTCCATTTTCTGGCTTCATCTCTCTGGATCTCATTTCTCCAAATCCAGGCCCTCATCTCACCATTCCTGCCTACCACCAACCGCAGGCTCCCGTCTCCTACTTGGGTCCCAGTGGTCGTCTCAGGAAGGAGGGAGATAAAGACATTGGGTGGGGCAGACTGGACTGTAATCGGAGGGATGGGGATGGCTGAGAGGCTCCATGAGGCTGGGGGTTCAGATGGGGACTTGGATCAAGAGGTCTGGGGCTTTTAGGGGAAGCTTCTGGGTTCTGCAGGACTCTGGCTGGGAGAGTCTCCAGGGGAAATGGCAAAATGAAAGTGGCTTAATAACCTGGGCACACTTTGCTTCAAGTCACGGAGTGGGTTTCAGTGGAGGAAGAGGGTTCGGGCACAGGCGGGATGGATCCAAAGCCAGGCAGGAGGGATCTGACGGTTCTGGGGCTCTAGGAAGGTTTTCATCTGGGAAGCTCAGCTGCTGTAAGGGTCTTTGCTGGGGATCGGGCATACAATGGGGTGGGGATGATAAGGATGGGAGGGATCTAATTAAACTGAGCCTGGAGCGTCTTCCAAGGATACAGGCGATTGAGAGGTTTGGTGGTCAGTCTTTGCAGGTGGGGATGGGAGGGCCTGGTAAGGGGCCTGGGGCTGAACCAGCGGTCTGTTTCCTTGACTCTGAGAGCGCGGGATAGGGGTGTAGTAGCTGGGAAGAATAAGTGGGTGGGGTTCAGTTCTGCCTAGGGTAACCCCGTCTTACAGGGGAATTGGGGGTCCAGCAGGGCATTGGAGGGTCTGGCCAGAGCCAGGGACGGTGGCGGCTATAGAGGACTGTCTCAGTCACTTTCCAAGTAGGGAAGGGGCCGTGGATTCCGCACGATTTGGAGGGAGGATTGGGCCGGGGCTGGGCTCACCTGCCGAGTAGGGCGCGGGCTGGTGGTCGCGTAGAGCGCCAAGCGCGCAGTTGGAGGAGCCGAGCGCGGGGCAGGGCGGCCCGGCCGCGGGGAAGGCGGGCCGCAGGGGGCTGTATTGGAAGCCGCCAGGCTGGCTGCAGGCGCCGAAGTCGCCGTAGGCGGACGCCTCCATGGCCGCCACGCACGAGTCGTACGAATTGAGGTAGGAGTAGTCCATCGGCCCGGGGGGCGAGGACGGGGGCCGGGCCGGGCCGGGTCAGGGTCGGGGTCCCGGACCGGATGCGGGTCAGGATGGGGTTCGAACGCCAGGCGCCGAGGACCCAAGTCCGGCTCTGAGCGCCCGCGAGTCTGCCCGCCCCGTCGCGGCCGCGTTCTACCTGGGTGCAGCGCCAAGTGCAGCCCTGCTCTGCCCGCGCGCCTTTTAACGCGCAGGACCCCGCGGAGGGGGCGGGGCGAGCTCCTCGGGGCGGGGCCCGGGCGGCCTAGGCCACGCCCCCAGCCACCCGGACCCCACCTCCCACCCCGAAAGATCCCCGCGGCCCTCTGATGGCTCAGGAGGTTCAACGCGGGGCTGCGCGGGGCCCCATTACTAGAGTCCCCATCCCGCCGCAATCCAGACCAGACCTTTGGTCTTCGTGCATCGTGCCAGGCCGGAAGGTCTCGACCCCTTTCCCTGGCTTCCCCACCTGCGGCCCCGCAGAAGGAAGGGGAGACGGGCCCGGGAGCGCCCGTGTGAAGAAGTTAATTCAATTCGTCCAGATAACCGAGTTATTCTGATCCAGCCCCTCGGCCCCGCCCCCAGCAAGGTTACATCCCGGCGGGGACCGAGGAGGCAGCCCAGGAGGGGGATGGAGACAGGGCCGAGGAAGAGACGGAGCCTGGGATGGGGACGTTGATCAGGAGAGGCGACAGAGACGAAGACAGGAAGAGAAAGGGACAACACAGATACAGGTACACAGATGGAGACAAGGAGGAGACATGGACGAGAAAGGGGGATTGAAGACGGGGCAAGAGGAAGACAGGGACAAAGATGGAGAAAAAGGTGAAACATGGATTTGAGAAAAGCGGGGGAGGAGATGGGGACAAAGCAGAGACAGAGGAGACAGCATAAGAGAGAGACAGAGAGGGAGGCGGCATAGAGACAGAGAAGTCACAAGGATGAGACATGGACGGAAACACGGGTTGCTTTGGATATGAGGAGAGAGATGAGACAACACAGGGCAGTGATAGTGCTACAGACACGAACGAAGGGGCGGTCTCAGAAAGACAGGCCGGGGACAGACACAGCGGAGGAACCGAGGCTGGGGGGCGGAGGGTAAGAGCCTTCCTTCTGACGGAGAACCGAGACCCTGCGCTGGAGCGCGCAGGGGGCGGAAGGATTGCGGTGCAGGCGCCTCGCCGCGGCCGAGGGGGCCGGTTGCACGAGCCCAGGTCCCTCTATCCTCCTGACTTGTCCTAAAGGCCACACGACCTTGTCCTGAACCTTCTGAACCCGCTCCGCCTCTTCCCTTCCCAGCTCTCTTAGCTCAGTCCTCCTCCCCACCGCCATCGGATGTGACCTCTGGTTCCCAGCACCTACCGCACAGAGTGCGTGTGATGACTGTCAGGACACGGAGTTTCAGTCTGACACCTTTTCTCTCTCTCAGCCTCTTACCTCCCTTCTCCAGAGAATCTTTTCTTTTCCAAGAAAACCACCGAGACTCAGTCTGGACCTGGCCCTCGGGGAACTCAGCCACTGGCTCTACAGTGTGGGACGATGGGGCACAGAGTTCTTTCCAGGAGAACAAAACCGAGAACACCTCTGCCCCTGCAGCTCACCTGAGGTGGGTTGGACAGCTTCTGCACCCAGCCCCCAGCTTCCTCTATCAAAATCTTGACAGGTCCTGCCGATGGGGGAGCAGGGAGCCAGGGGAGGGGCACCCTTATTACCGAAATGCTTGGGAATGCAAGAGGGCTTACAGAACACACGCCCCTGCCCCTGCCCCAGTTTACTAGCTCAGTGGGGAGCATGCGCACCTCAGACCATCCACTGCTTTGGCCACCCCTTCTTCACTTCACACAAGGACTCCTCCATGCCTGGGGGTTCTTTGAAGTATTTTCACTAATTACATTTTTTTAGGTCTAAAACTGACAGTAAAACAGCTTCAAAAAGTTCTCCCCACTGATGTGTGAGGTTCACCTCTCTCCCTTGACACATCCTCTACAGGGAGCCTGAAGGATCTCAGAATTGGGAAATTCAGATGGTGCCACCTCTCTCCTCAGACCTCCCATGGCTCTCCAACTGCCCTCAGGATCAAATCCAAGTCCTGACTCTGAGTAATGCCTGGCACATAGTAAACATATAAATACATTAGCTACTGCTCGCCCTCCCCCAACTTCTCTCCATCACCAAGTGACTGAGCCCTGTGTGGCTAGACCCAGACCACACTGTGGCCAAGACTTCTGTGATCTGTCACACATGGTACTTGAATATATAGTCTGAACAGAGGCTCCTATCTTTGCATGGCAGCATTATCTCTTCTCTGAAGATTTCAGAAGATACTAGGCCCTGCAGAGTTACCCATCCTGACCCCTTAATTTTTGCAGAGGAAGAGACTGAGGCCCAAAGAGCCATCCTGTAGGAAGAGTGGAAGTAAAAACAGTGGGCATGTGTCAGGGTGGGAGGAGAGAGCAGCAATGCAGAGAGGAGGGAGGGTACGGTGAGGACTGTCCTTTTTCTTCTGCTCTGATCCCGGCTCTGACGTTAACTTAATCTGTGAGCCTGGACAGTGGAAGCGCCATGAGAACGAATGAGGAAGGACCCTGGAGAATTCTTTCTGCTTGTGGTCTTTTAACAAATGGTAGCCTGGGAATTCCAGGGACCACCACCTCATTCCCACTTCGACAAGCAAGTCTTAGCCTCCCTTCAGAACTCTGAGCAAGGATCTCCTGGGCTCTAGGGTGTGGCCACCATGTGGATTTATTAACCCAGTGCGCCCCTGTCAGTCCTCTGTCCTATGAGGGGAGAGCGTGGAGCAGTGACTCCTCCCTACCACTGAAATGCATCTTCTTACACTTCAAAGCAATGTCTTCAGTGTTATCATTGCACTACTATGATTGGAAGCCAAGCTTGATCAGACATTGACGTCTAACTTCTAATAAGGAGTGGAGCTTATCTATCGGTGAAAAGTTAACACATTGTCTGGTCCTGCTTAAGGACCCTAGAACTCCTTTCAACCCCATTTATCTACCAACTTCATTAGCGGAATAAAGGACCACTACCTCCACCCCCCACCCCTATTCTCAAATCCCTATTCTTTCCCGTTAGGACTTTCTGGTCTAAGGAGGGTTGGAGGCAAGCACATTAACTGTATATTCTCTCAACCTATTTATCAGAACCCATAGTCTCTTGTTCTCTCCGTTATGAGAACAACACCTGTTGGCCTCTCTTTTCTTCCCACTAATACCTTGGGCTACCCAGCCTTCGGCTAATTTCAATTTTTGTTTTTCACTTCTAGTTTTAGGCCTTTCCAGGACCAAAAATGTTCAACCCTCAGGGATCCCTGAAGAATGAGGAAAGATCTTCTTTCAGCTCTACAATTATTTTCTGAATGTCTGATCTATGATGGAATTTCATGGGGCACTAGACACGTGGGGATAAATTAATGTTTTCTTTAAGGGTTTCCCCAATCTGGTGAGCACACAAGCTCTTACCTACAGGGAGGGTCTGTGCAGAAAGTTTCAGTTGTTGAGAAAGAATGGCACCTAGGAGGTGAGGCGAGTTGACTCTTTTATAAAAAAAGAGAGGGAGAAAGGTTTGACCCTACCGACAATGTCACACATTGGCATGCTTATCCAAGATTTTGCATGTGGGAAGGGGCCTGCCTAAGGGCTGCCATAGTGGACATTTATGGTGTGGTCAGCCCAGCACAACTTTTCTGTTGAGAACTGTCCCCTCCATCCACATGGCTACCCAGAGGACCACTGTTCTTACATAATCCTACCCTCGGCTGTAATTGGTCTAGGTGTGTGTACCTGTCCAAAGACAGGTCAACAAAATCCTTAACGTTTTTTTTCTTTTTTGAATTGAGAAACAAGTTATTCTCTTTTGAATGCTGGAAGCTATCAATATAAAATTCAGGACAAGTTTGCAACGATGTTCCCTGTCATTAAAAGAAGGAAGATTGTCTGTAATGAAGAAATAATGAGTAAGAAGTTGAGGCAAAAGATATAGAGACTCATGGTAGAATTTAAAAGCCTTTTAAGTTATTCCTTAGACATTCTTATTCTTTTTACAAGTCAGTCGTTCTGCTGTTTATTGGATTTTGTTATCCAATACATTCTTCTCTGTTTTTTTTTGAATGGTTCATTTTAATTGTATTTTCCCCATCATCATTTATCCAATACCTTCTTCTTTCTGTTTAATCTACTTCAAGTTGGATTTCTGTCACTTCCAAACAAAGAGTAAGGGACTCCCTTATTTGATAGATGCCAGAAATACAAATAAAAGCCCTGGTATAAGGTATGCAGTGGTGCACATGTCAGACCTGACAATAAGGGGCCCGCCCCATTGATGCAGGGTGGGATGGAGGGAGACTCCCTCCATGCTCGGCCGGGAAATGAAATGTCCTTGTAAGGACACAATGAAATAGCTGGGAATACTACTGCATGTTGTCGCTTAGAACTTGACCTCAGCCTTCCCCCTTGCCCTGTAGTTGCAACTTCAAAGTATTACAGAGAAAAATGATAAAATATTGGAGTATACTTCCTATATTTGGCAACCTCAGGAAAGTGCTTGCAGGCGGGGACAAGAAGGTGGGGAGCAGTGTGACGATTTGTACGTAACTCTGGTAGGAAGCCTCTGCCTATGGCTGGCAATCTGAGGTTGCAATAGGAGGATAATAATCATATGCTTTGCAGATTGGCCATAGCAAAATCCTCTGCCACAGCCTAAAGTAAATGCATTGATTAGGAAATAGTGAGTGTCTGACAGGTGACGTGAAATTTGGGAAGATCTAGAGGAATTAGGGAAGTGTGAGTTTCCCAATCTTTCTTGGCACCCTGGCCTGACAGCAGAGAAGAGTTGACATTTATTCTTCTTTTGGTATCTGGCATCTGAAGCCACTTTCTAAGTTAGGGGAATTCCCCACCTGATAGATGCCAGAAATTTGCTTTTTGAACTTCCCTCACAACCAAGATGCAGACACTAAGCATAGTGTCAGCCAGTGATGTACGCTG